AGAATTTTCTATACAAGTTACAACATGGCAATCAGTATCAAAATAAGGACAAAAAGTTAATGTCTTGTGCTATAGAATTTCTTTTCAATATGCCAAATAAATACAAAACAGTTGTTTGTGTTGAAGAGGTTACTTTCCGATTACATGTAGAAACTAATCAAATACCAAAAAATTACAAACAAACATGTCTTACAACGTAGTTTAAATCACACACAGCATTTTTATTGATCTTTTCACTTTTGCAAAACTACTCCTTAAGCCTTGTCCTTAAAATATAACATAAAATTGGTTTTATGGGGGAATAGGTTTTTTCTGTAATCAAACATAATCAATGCCATCTTATTAAGTTCTTATTCTTATTTCAAGTTAAGTCTTGTTATAGCACAATCTCAATGTTTTACATGGCAAAAGAATTTTTTTTTATTCTTAAGAAACTTAAAAAAAAGAATAAAATGTGGAGTCATAACATATTAAAAAATGTCAGTATTGTATATATGCACAATATGTGGACTGGGTCATGTGACCATATAACTAGCCCATCATGTGACCAAATAGGAAGTCTGTCATGTGACCGTCTGTCAAACCAATACAGATACAAATGTACAATCTTCTCAAAAGAAACTAAATTCACACATATATCCTACATCTTCAAAAGAATAATATGAAGTTAACATTACAAAGAGTAAGAGGACACTATCAACAGCATTTTTTAAAATAAGAGACAATTCTGGCATCTTGTATGTCTATTGAAAAACATTGATACTACATATTTTGAGTGAATCTACAGTGCACCAGCTGGGTAGCATAAGAAACTGACCATTTGACGTGTGGGGGTGGGGTGGGGTGTGGCGGTGTGGGGGGTTGGTGGGGTTGTCAAGTAAGGTGGGGTCTGAGATTCAAATACTTTTCCCAAGAATATTCTGGAGGAAATTAATTTTGCCCAATGTTCTTAAAAAATATATAAAATGTTCCATAACGTTTAATGTCCTGAACAAATGTCCTGTGAACAAAAATATAATCAAGTCTTTAAAAGGCATTTAGAAGTGATACATATAAGGAAGAGAGTTTATGGATGTCAACTTCTTTATTATGAGGAAACGTCAGAGGACATACTTACTCATCAGGAGAATATGCACCTGATGAGGGAGTAAGTATATACCGTATTTGACCTAATGAGCACCCACATTGATATTTGCCCAATATATTGGCAAGTGAACAAACCCAATTAGCACCTCTTCCGAATGATCAATGTACACAAGACTTATTTATTGGTGTGTTATATGTACCCTTAATTATTGGCAATTAAATTCTGAAAAAAATATATCTGTCGTGTATAATACGCACAGACTTTTTTTAGTATCATTTCTGGTACATAAACTGAGAAATTTACAATCTTTCAACTCTGTTTTTTTTCACCAAAATTATATTCTAATAAGAGCCCCCTATTTCTAATTTTGAGAGTGCCCTTGGCACTTTTTATGTCGAATACAGTACTCCTCAAAGTAAAGAAGTTGACATCCATAAATCCTCTTCATTAAAATAAATAATGTTCGTCTCCTAACAGAGAAATTATCTGTGACCGAAAAAACAACCCTTCTCCCCACACACCCAGGGTATGAAATGGTCAGTACCGTATTCCACGTAATAAGCACCCCGCTCTAATAAGCGCCCACGGCGATATTTGCTATTATATTGGCTCGTGAACAATCCCAATTAGCACCCCTTTCGATTGATCAATGTACACACGACTTATTTATTCGTGTATAGTACGCACTCGTGTGTTATATGTCTCTTAATTATGGACAATTAAATTCTGGAAAAATATATCTGTCGTATATAAACATTTTAGGCTGTCAACATAAACCACAAAATTTATTGTCTTTCAACTCTTGTTTATTTTTCACCAAAATAATATTCTAACAAGAGCCCCCTATTTCTAATTTTGAGAGCGCCCTGGACGCTTATTACATGGAATACGGTATGTACAGAAGTTGTGAGGAATATGGCCGACATACTGAACTCACTGGTCCGGAGTATATTTAACATGATATAAAATATCTGAAATAATAACAACACAAGAATATACATACAACTCATAACAGTAAATACATCGTGATGTTCCCATCTCTGACTAGATAATCCAGCTGTCACATTGTCACAAGCATGAGACAAACGTAAGTTAAGGCGTTAAAAAAATATCAACCCTCTTGTAAGTTTGAGTTTCAGAGATGATGGCGATGGGCTTGTTAGAAATATAATGAACACCATCAGTACTACTCTTGACATACTAATCGTAGAATGAGCAGGGATGTCACAATTCATCAATACATTGATGCAGCCTTAATATTCTCAGACGATTTGATTCGCGATACACATTTACCTGACTTTTCGATAATTTGTATTGATTCATATTTTAATCCTGTATCGTTTTTCACATGGACCATTCGTTCAAATTCAACTTGTTCAGTTAGGGGGCACATCTAATGTATTTTGCAATTTGATATAATTAATAACAGAAAGTACTTATGTTGACACTCCAGGATTAATGGAATGAGACATTTTTATTTTCAAATAGGAGTCAAGGTATTCAGGATGTTTCAAGCCTTTTAACTAGTTCCGATGCATATGAAACATAAAACTTCACACAAAAATGCTGCAAATTAAGTATCATGACACGTATTGTATCTTGAGTGAGTGAGTGAGTTGGGTTTAACACCGCTTTTAACAGTATTCCAGTTATATCAAGGCGGGTAAGCTTAATGTGGGAGGAAAGCCCGAAGTGATGCAGGTCTCAAACATAATCAGGGCGAACCATGGTTCGAACCCAAAATCATAGGTTTCTGGCTTGCCCAAGGGATGCAACTCTGCACAGTAAATCACAGCGATTTAGATGACTGGGCCACCCGTGCCCCCTATTGTATCTTGAACCAAGTTTTGCTATATATCATATTGGAAGATAGCCCTTAGGTGACATCCTTAAGAATAAGCTTTCTGTGCTAAAGGCAGCTGAAATGTCAGAGGTTGATACAATATACAAGAGTCATACCACAAGTTGTAGAATGAGGCACATAGCAGTAAAGGGATTCTCAGCAACAACTACCTGAAGCGTCTGTGGCTGACATTAGTTACCAGTATCATACCACTAGTTGTAGAAGGGGTACCCGGTAGGATGAAGTGTTAGTGTTTTGTATTCTACTCTAAAAATGTTAAGGGCCACCAGATCTTTCATATTACAATAGTTAATACGCCATGAGGTGAGGTGAGGTGAAATGGGGTTTGACATCACGTCCAAGATTATTGCACTTATATAGCGACGTGCATGTACGTGTGTGTGTGGCTGCTTGTACTTGTCCGGACTGATGCCGATTTATAGTGCTACCTCACTGAGATACCATGCCGCATTTTAACATGAATACCCCACTTTGACACAGTATACTGACTCCGAGCCGACCAGTCCTTGTTTTAACCCCTTAATGCCGAGCGCCAGACAGGGTAACAACAAGTACAATCTTTTAATGTCTTTTGGTATGACGCGGTCGGGGATCGAACCCCGGACCTTCCCCTCTCCGGGCGGACGCTCTACCACTAGACCACGGAGGCGGTCCTAATCCGCCATGACATGACAGACTAATTATGGTCATATGAAAACAATTGATTGGTCCTTAACTTTATTGTCTGCCAGCTGCTGAGGAAACAAATCAACAATTCACTAATGTACTAGAATTTTCACTGGTATAAACATCTGTTTCTTTACCAGCTGCTTCTGAAACTGCACAGCACCAAGAATAAAGCTTTCACTAAAACTAAATTGATATGGAATATTTGATATGTAAAAATATGATATAGTTCTTCATACTGATTACATGATAAAAATGTATGAAACCTGGTTATGATAAATAAATAACATCAAACTCTGATATTATCTTTTTCAAATGCACCATTTACATAAGTAAAACACCAAATATAAGGAAACACAGTTGACATACTTGATTGAACAGCTTAATGGTCCTCATGTTCATGTCTATCAACTGACATCAGAACATGCCACCCTAGGACCAACAGGGACATTGTAGAAGCAATGGTACTGGACACCCTAGGACCAATAGTACAAGACACCCTAGGACCAATGGTACAGGACACCCTAGGACCAATAGTACAGGGCACCCTAGGACCAACTGGGACATTGTAGAAGCAATGGTACAGGACACCCTAGGACCAATAGTACAGGGCACCCTAGGACCAACTGGGACATTGTAGAAGCAATGGTACTTGACACCCTAGGACCAATAGTACATGACACCCTAGGACAAATGGTACTGGACACCCTAGGACCAATGGTACAGGACACCCTAGGGATAATAGTACTGGACACTCTAGGACCAATGGTACAGGACACCCTAGGACCAACTGGGACATTGTAGAAGCAATGGTACTGGACACCCTAGGACCAATGGTACAGAAGACCCTAGGGCCAACTGGGACATTGTAGAAGCAATAGTACAGGACACCCTAGGACAAATGGTACTGGACACCCTAGGACCAATGGTACAGGACACCCTAGGGCCAATAGTACTGGACACTCTAGGACCAATAGTACTGGACACCCTTGGACCAATGGTACAGGACACCCTAGGACCAATGGTACTGGACACCCTAGGACCAATAGTTCAGAGCACCCTAGGACCAACTGGGACATTGTAGAAGCAATAGTACAGGACACCCTAGGACAAATGGTACTGGACACCCTAGGACCAATGGTACAGGACACCCTAGGGCCAATAGTACTGGACACTCTAGGACCAATAGTACTGGACACCCTTGGACCAATGGTACAGGACACCCTAGGACCAATGGTACAGGACACCCTAGGACCAATGGTACTGGACACCCTAGGACCAATAGTACAGGACACCCTAGGACAAATGGTACTGGACACCCTAGGACCAATGGTACAGGTCACCCTAGGACCAATGGTACTGGACACCCTAGGACCAATGGTACTGGACACCCTAGGATCAACAGGGACATTGTAGAAGCAATGGTACTGGACACCCTAGGACCAATGGTACTGGACACCCTAGGGCCAATAGTACAGGACACCCTAGGACCAATGGTACTGGACACCCTAGGACCAACAGGTACATTGTAGAAGCAATGGTACTGTACACCCTAGGATCAATAGTACAGGACACCCTAGGACCAATAGTACAAGACACCCTAGGACAAATAGTTCAGGACACCATAGGACATAGAACATATAGGATACATTACTACTCCTTGAAAGAATACACAATCTTTTTGTTAAAAAACCCTCCAGAATATAAAAGAAAAAAACATAGTTTTTTTCTAATTTCATGCAATAAATTCTGATTCAAAAAATGGTTGAATGTCAGCTGATGTGACAAATTTAGCCCTAGAAAATATGAATGATGTGAATTGACTCTATACAATGTAACCTGTTTAAACCAAACCAGTAAGTAACAGAACTCTATACAATGTAACCTGTTTAAACCAAACTAGTAAGTAACAGAACTCTATACAATGTAACCTGTTTAAACCAAACTAGTAAGTAACAGAACTCTATACAATGTAACCTGTTTAAACCAAACTAGTAAGTAACAGAACTCAATACAATGTAACCTGTTTAAACCAAAGTAAGTGATTTGGGTTTACACTGCCCTGATCAGCATTTAGCTTATACCTTGGCTAAATGCTGCAAGCTTACACAGACATCACATTAAGACCTACAGTAACTGGGCTGTCCTGTGTATATGTCTCCTGGTATCGGGAAACACGGATCTGAACCAGGTGATGTGTGACACTCCCTACTGTGCCATCCCACCATCAAATTACTGTCACTCTCTATTTCTACATTGGCTGGGGTCATTTTGGCTCTAAAAACTACTCACTAAACATTTACCATGTAAGTTAGTTGGCCCTGGTGGATTCTGTAGTGTATATAGTAGATATACAAGTAAGTCAAACACTGCTGTGTTAAACACTGCTGTGTCAAAGTACAAGGGACCTATATAAATACTTTAAGTTATTCATGGTTTGACACAACCAAAAAATAACGTAGCATACATATATTGAAGGAATGCCTCCTTTATCATTGCCGACCTCTTAATCCATGCTGACAATGTGTTTAGAGGGTCAATGTGCGATGTAGTTTTAGATCCCTGCTTAACTACCGTTACTGCTTCATATTGCTGGAATATTGCTAAAAGCGGCGTAAAACCATTCTCACTCACACATTCATATTTGGTCTCAATCGATATTACTGCTAATTTTATAGTGGTAGACCAGCTATTCCAGTTATCCTCACAGAACTACTAGGTCCTTCAGAAGACTGTTCAGACGAGCTGCTAACCGCACTGATTCATTTTGGTATCTATCCTTCATTTAATAGCACCCATGAAACAAAAATACTACCAACGCAAATCCTTATCCGTTACACATTCCACAATTTGTAATCACAAGTTAAACATGTGACAATCACATGACTCCAATCACTCCTGCGCTTGGTGTTGATCAAATGACCTGTTAATCCCAGAACCACATCAATGTTTTTTTGAAGTTAGGTATTACTGCAGAGCTCCAGATAAGCTGCGTATTTGCGTAAAATACGCATCAGAAATAAGCAGTAAAATAAAATCCAAGCGTATCAAATAAGCAACGAACATTACAGATACGCTACAAAAATAAAATTTGTGCGTATCATCAAAATATTGTGAAGTAACCCTGCGTATTCGATTAGCAAATCAGCAACTTATTTTGAAATTATAAACGGACATTCCGTCAACCTTGCCAAACTCTACGATGACAGTTACATCATGATCATTTGCCATCACACTTTCTTGTGGAAGTATCGTGCTATTTTTGGGTCCTATAAAGCTCTCGAACCTACACGACACCAGTTTGCAGGGACTAGTTGAATAGTGTTTTTAAATATTTAACTTAAATACCCACATGTGTAAAAACTAGTGGGTAACAGAAATTGGAATACCCAGATAGAATTACTGATACCCACTGATTTTAAAATGCATGGGTAAAATAACCACAACACCAAAAGCATATCTGGAGCTCCGGTATTACTGTGACACACTGAACTCAAAGCAATAGAGATTTCCAGCTAAGCCTTGTTAACTGAACCGTGATGACCGATGAGACGTGCCGAGATCGTCTTATCAGAGTAAATTTGCGCTGGAAGTACGTGTTTGGGATTGGATTAAACACTTCGACAACCGACAATCGTAACTTCGCGACATCCGATTCGACACCGAGGTTAATTAATGACGAATAAAGAAGGAATAATCAGGGATCAAGCTTTACTTTGATTCAAATCGCAAGTTTGACAGATCAAAGTTCGACACAACGGTGTTTGACTGTAGGAATATGGAATTTGTATACAATGACATACACTCTCAGATCTCCCATCATGCATCTATGCCCCGCGGATATATACGGCAACAATATCACAAGGTTTCAGATTCCATAGCTATGAAAATAAACATCCAGTTCAGAAAATACAGCAAACAGTGTCAAAATAATCTAGCTGATATAAGCAAGGCATGATACATAAACAAATACATATATATTCATAAAACTTTCACTAAAACATTTTTGCGTATGAATAATAAACACAATCCACATGATGCATATATATATATATATATAGTATACATATATAAATAAATAATGTTTCTAGCACTCCAGTTGTGACACTTAAAAAATTGATCAGTCACAAAATATATACAAAATATCAATGACAAACAAAAGGCGAGAAAAGGTATTCACAATTCATAAGGCGTACATGATACACGGCATGCTATGCCGGTACACAATATGTATTAATCAATAAAAACAGTTACCTAGTAACCATCATGTATGTTGTCATGGTTACAGAAAAAAATGACACCCTCTAGTGACAAGACTGCTTTGCAAATCAGATTCATGTATCAAATAGTCTAAGGTAGAAGGGATCTTCATTAGCAAATCATTCAGTCGAGACCTGAAGAAATGAAAGGAATTAAATATCACAATATTTCCTGAATCTCTAGTTTTAATAGTTTGTCATGTGATCATATAAAAGCGAGTGAGTGGGTGAGTTGGGTTTAACACCATTTTGACAGTATTCCAGTTATATCTCAGGTTAATGTGAGAGAAAATCCTGAATTGGTGCCGATTTCAAACGTTCACCACTTTGGTGAAACCACGAGCACGGTGCTGACAAACGTAAAACATAACTGGGGAGTAATGGGATTTGAACCCCCGATTACAGGTTCCTGGCATGCCCAAAGGGACACAACTCTGCACATGAATTGCAGCACTTAGACAACTGGGCCACCCTTGATCCCCTGTATACAGAAAACTAAACTGTTACCTCGGTACATAGAAAAGAAACATCATCTCAATTCATGACACGGCGTTCATGAGACGGTCCCCGTTTTCCGTTTCATGGTCATGTTGGGACAATATGGAAACACTTTTCTCATGGAAGGGTCCGAAAGTAGTATGAGTTTCCTCGGACAAAATGCTTATATTGTTTGAAGATCATGTATATTCAATAACTATATATCCCACAGAAAAGCTCCTCATAGCGCAACATCTATCACAATCGCTATACCTCCATTAGCCTCTAACACAGCCTGGCTCTAGCAAGCATATCAAGTATATTGATATAGGTATATATACAACAGACAACATATAAATAATATCACAAGTCAAAAACTGGCAAAATTCTGCGTATTGTCAGAGAAAACATACATCTAACTGCTAGGGTGAGTGAGGGAGTTGGCTTTAACGCCGCTTTTAATAGTATTCCAGTTATATCGCGGCGTGTCAGCTTAATGTGGGAGGAAAGGCCGAAGTGATACAGGTCTAAGACGTTTACCACTTCAGTGAAACCAACGAGCATGGGTATCGTGCTGACAAACCTAGAAACATAATCGGGGAGACCCGGATCGATTCGAACCCACAATCATAGGTTTCTGGCGTGCCCAAAGGATGCAACTCTGCACGGCAAATCGCGGCGCCTGAGATGACTGGGCCACCCATGCCACCCTAACATCTAGGGAATCTCAGGGAGTGAATATCAGAATATTTCAATGGACCTATAAAAAACAATAAATGAAAATATAGAAATGTTTTGGCACTAAGATGACTGTTTATCAGATTCAAAAAAATATATTCAAAAAGAAGTTAAGGAACATGGGATTTTTTTCATATTGCTATAGTTAATCTGTCATGTTTAGTTGTGGCCAACAATTTTGTGACATGAAAGGTTTGATTTAACATAAATAATTCACTGAGGTCTCCTAGGTTCTGTAAACAATTTATTCAAAAGTTTCAAGGCTATATTCTTAGGTTAGGTGAAAAAAACAAAAACGTTTCTCGTTATTCAATCAGGTTTTTTAAAACATAAAACAATGTTTTGATTTCAAGGAAATACATTTTTGGTTTTGTCAGGGAAAATATCTGGTTTCAAAAATTATGAGTTTTAATATTTTCATATACACAAGAAAACGTAAGGCACCACTTACTATTTCCATGTGAAATAGCCCTTACTTCCTGATGAAAAAACATAAAAAAATCACACTGAAATACAGAAACCAAAATAGACGATCTAATAAAAGTTTTGTAAGTGTAATATGCCAAGAGTTACTTGATATTCCCATCAGTCATTTTCTCTACATCATTGCATTATATACGTCAGTACGGCCATCTTGAGAAACAAAGTGTTTTTGTAATCCCTTGTCTGGAGAACTACATGGTATATTAGTCATGCAGAAAAATGATATCAATGTAAAATATTTAAAAAAAGATACATGGAAGTTTGGGATAGATATATGAAATTAAAAAACAAAACGGATGGTGCATAATTTTTTTCCAGATGAATGTGATTTTAATGGAACAAGAATCAAAAAAGAAAGAATCTTTCTTGTCTAAACTGTTAGTTTTCTGCCCACACAGTAGGGCTGGGTGTGTGAGTGAGTGAGTT